AGATATACATCTACATATATATATATATACATATACATATGTATGTGTATTGTGTACAGATTTTTTTTTTCATACAGATTGATGTGTATGTACATGTATTTTCGTCATTTGAAATTAATATAAAATGAATAACAGTGAAGTAATTTTTCTCTATATTCCAAATGTTTATTTACAGTATAAATGTTAATTTACTAAAGTTATCTCTTTTAGTAATCCTAAATGGATATATATCATATCTCTAGTAGGTTTTTACATTTTAAATTTTGTGGTGCTGGTGCTTAGGTCTCCACACTAAACCTAAATATATATTTTTATGAGGTTGAGTTTAAATCTCTAAATAAAGCTGGAAATTACAACCTGTAAATAAAGTTGCCTTGAGTTTGATTTAGACGTGTGAGGAGGATGAGAGGCACGGCCTGGGAATAACCCATGCAGATCAGGGAGAGATTTAGGAGAGCTGGAAGAAGGGCAGAGGAGTCAGGAATGTTTTCAGGAGCCAAACGATGCTAATAAGTCCATCCTGGAATTAGCAAGAAGCTGGAGGAGAGAAGCTAACATAATGGACCTTCACTCTGTTTAGGTGCATGTTAGCAGTGTGGACCAGCTTGCTGATTCTTCAGCAAAGAAATCATCCTTGAACCAGTTGATGCTAAAGACGACTGTGCAGCACTTCTTCCAGACTTGGACCCCAGATCACTCTGTAGATCAGGGATGACCAATCTGAGGCTCAGGGGCCATTTCAATCATTTTCACCATAAAGATCGAACGTTTGGACACCACTGCTGCAAATTAAAGCACCTTCTTCCAGAAGCTTTGGGACAAAGACAGCAGGTGATTATACCGGAGGCTAAGCAGTGTTCAACTCCCTGTTTATGCTACCTTTATATCTCAAAATGTGTCACTTAGGGCTTTGTATTGAAGCCAGAACTTTTATATTAATGATAAAGATTCACACACTGCAAAAACTGGACTAAAACTAGGTGCATTTTCTTAAAATAGGTATATCTACTCTTGGTTTTGTAGTTAAAAAGTGAACTAATCTTCCACTAAATAAGAATTTAGCACAAAAGACCAGATGTTTTTTCTCATATTTTTTTCTCTTAGAGCAGTTTTTTTTACCAATGGGGAAAATACACTTATTTCAAGATTTGTTTTATTTGTATTTATTATTCTAGTTTAGAGCATCTGAACAGCTGAATTAAGAAAATAAGATGAGACAATCCCATCATTTAATCAACTCACGACATTTTTTAAACAGAAAGACCCATGGCCGCAGGAAGTGGGGGTGCTGGGGGGTGCTGCAGCACCCCCTAGTGGTGACAGGGAGATTTAATAAACATGTATTACAACTAGTTTCTTATGAATATTTTGTGAACTGATTTTGCCTTTTTTTATTTTACTATTACGTGTATTTGGATTTGAATTTAATTATTTCGAGGCCCAATCAACACAATTTCATGGAAGTTACGTTGCCATGGCAACGTCAGGCAAGCTAGAGTGTGGTACCCCGAAACCAGGAGTTGGAAATTTTTGTGTGTTAAGTTTACGTGATTTGTACTGATAAATAAGGAAGAGACTAAAGAATTCATCTGAAAAAAGAACATTTCCACATCTAAAGATGTTCAGCAAGCCGGTCAAACAGGATGGAAAGGGACAGGAGAGAGGCCAGGATGAGTCACCAAAGGGGCTTTTTAGAGAAATGTTGAAACACTGGGAGTTTCAGATTCAAGTTTTTATTCTATCTAAATTTCTAAGGACAGGGGCCTACATTCCTTCTCCGCCATGTTTGACTGTTTGTTTGAGTTATTAGTGCTGATGTTTAACATGCAGAGTGATGACTGTAGAATCTGAGATGGAGCTCTCAGGATATTTTGAGTGTCTCTGTCCTGTGAACTATCCGGCCTTGGAATGCACATGCTTGGGCATGCACTCCCTGACAGGTTGACATACGTCCTAAATGTTTTCCACTAGTTGAAGAATCTCTCTCACTGTAAAATAAAGTCCTTATAACCCGTCCTACAGC